TACATCTTATTTTTATTCATAACTTGTTGGTATTGTTGTTGATTTTCCCCCGAAATTTCCTCATTGTTGGTATACTGAAATTGTCGTGTGTTGGTCAGGCCAGACTCCAAACCAGAATCCGAGTGGCCGCAAGGTTTGAAGTACGTGAAAGTCACCGACCGAGTTACTGAGAATACAGCCCTCCTCACTACTGACATCAGCAGCACGGCGGCACGGAATAGACTGCGGGAACTCGGCTGGTTAGGAGCTGTGTCCATCATCCCTAAGCAGGTGAGAGCTCAGTCAGCGTGATCAACATTGTTCCTCTTGTAGCACAGAGGAGACGAATAAAAGGCGTAAAATAGATTTTCCCGAGGTCGATTTCAATCTCATTACGGGGAAAATATTCAAGATATTTCGCTTTACTCACAGGAAAAATTTTCCGTCAAATGCGCGCGATTTTAGATGCTATTTATTCGCTGGTTTATATTTCTCTCTTGCCCTAAGGGATCGATCGTATCAGAATTGTTTTCCATTGGTGTTAGAGAATGACCGATGGCTCTGTCCTGTTAGGTACTGGACATAATTCGGGAGGAGGGGCTTTATGGAGTGTCGATCAATTCAGGTAAAATCAGATAACAGTTCAGAACGGCACTGCAAATGTGCTCTAACAGTTTCTTCCTTACTAGAATCGTATGCGTTGGGTTCTTCAATGTTGAGGCTCAGCAACACTCACTTCTGGCTGGATTCACTCTAGGTTCATTTTAAGCGGGCTGGGATAGATCCTCGGTATGTAGATTTGAATGCTCGCAGCGTGAGACGATTCTTATCCCGGCTCGTCTCGTGATACATTGCCCTTGGTCGTTTCTGAGGGTTATTGCAGCACCCTACCGTACCACTCTCATTCGGTGCTAGAACGGATGGTCGGGGCCTGTGAAAGTCTTCGATTAGTCGATGATTTGTATGCACGGTTTGGTGAGCCCTTCGGCCCCCACTTTTCCATCCGGACTTGACATTCATCCTCCCCTCAGCAGCTCGCCCCTGTCTAGTCG